GAGACATGGAAATAAACATGAAAAGTGTGACTCACTTAGGGGAAAAAAGCAGGCAATGGAAACGATCTTTGAGGGGGCCCAACTGTTCATTCTTAGTAACATACACTTCATAGTAGTTATTATAAATATGTTCTAAGAACTGAAGGGAACTTCGTTCCTATAATGATTAAAGGAGATTATCATGGCAATGACCCTTCAGGTAGAAAATCAATAAAGGGATGTAAATTTTAAGAAAGGATCAAATAGAAGGTCTGGAGTTGAAAAGTACAGTAACTGAAAAAATTTACAAACTCAATAGCAGATATGAGCTGACAGAAGAAAGAATTGGCTGAGCATGGTGACTCGCACCAGTAATTCCAGCACTTTGGGATGCCGGGGGTAGGATGATCACTTGAGCCCAGGAGTTTGAGACCAGCCTAGGCAACATAGCAAGACCCTGTCTCTACAAAAAAATTTTTTTAATTAGCTGGATGTGGTGGCACATGCCTGTAGTCCCACCTACTGGGGAGGCTGAGGCAGGAGGAGGGTCACTTGAGCCCAGTAGTTTGCGGTTACAGTGAGCTATGATGAGCTCACTGCAGTGAGCCACTGCAGTCCAGCCTAGGTGACAAAGTGAGACCCTGTGTCTAAAAGAAAGAAATAAAAATAAAGAATTAGTGAATTTGAAGATAGATGGATAAAGATTGTCTAGTTTGAAGAACAGAAAGAAAAAAACCAAGAAAAATGAACAGTCTCAGAGACCTGTGGGACACCAGTACACATACTAACATACATGTAATGAAAGTTTCAGAAGGAGAGGAAAGAGGTAGCAAATATATTTAATAAATAATAGCCCAAAACTTTCAAGTTTTTTTTTTGTTTGTTTTTTGTTTTGTTTTTTTTTGAGACAGAGTCTCACTCTTTTTGCCCAGGCTAGAGTGAGTGCCGTGGCGTCAGCCTAGCTCACAGCAACCTCAAACTCCTGGGCTCAAGCGATCCTTCTGCCTCAGCCTCCTGAGAAGCTGGGACTACAGGCATGCGCCACCATGCCCGGCTAATTTTTTCTATATATTTTTAGTTGTCCGATTAATTTCTTTCTACTTTTAGTAGAGACGGAGTCTCGCTCTTGCTCAGGCTGGTCTCGAATTCCTGAGCTCAAACAATCCACCCGCCTCGGCCTCCCAGAGAGCTAGGATTACAGGCGTGAGCCACCGCGCCCGGCCCAAACTTTCAAGTTTGATGAAAAAGATTAATTTACATTATCCAAGAAGCTCAGTGGACTCTAAGTAGGATAAACACGAAGAAATCCACACCGAGATGTGTCATTAGATGTGTCATAGTGAGACTGTTGAAAGACAGAATCATGAAAGCAGTAAGGATTCATTATATACAAGGGAGACACAATAAATTAACAGCTGACTTCTCTTGAAAGTATGGAGACCAGAAAGTAGTAGGATTACATATTCAAAATGCTGAAAGAAGATATAAAAGCTCCTGATTATTAGCAAGTGTTAATATCTTTTCATTGTTTGATATTAATTTTCTTGATAAAGTTAAAATAAAAAGAATAGGCCACGTACAGTGGCTTACACCTGTAATCCCAGCATTTTGGGAGGCTGAGGCAGGAGGATTGCTTGAGGCCAGGCGTTTGAGACCAGCCTGAGCAACATAGTGAGACCTCATCTCTAAAACATATTAAAAAAAAAAAAAAGAAAAGGAGCTCTCTTGTTGTTTCTTTGTTGTCGCTTTGTTGCCCGGGCTAGAGTGAGTGCCGTGGCGTCAGCCTAGCTCACAGCAACGTCAGACTCCTGGGCTCAAGCAATCCTCCTGCCTCAGCCTCCCGAGTAGCTGGGACTACAGGGATGCGCCACCATGCCCGGCTAATTTTTTTCCTATATATTTTGAGTTGTCCAATTAATTTCTTTCTAATTTTAGTGGAGACGGGGTCTCGCTCTTGCTCAGGCTGGTTTCGAACTCCTGAGCTCAAACAATCCGCCCGCCTCGGCCTCCCAGAGAGCTAGGATTACAGGCGTGAGCCACCGCACCCAGCCCCCAAAGTTAAAATTCTTAAAAAAGAATCCCTGGCTAGGCGTGGTTGCATGTGCCTGTAGTGCCAGCTACTTGGGAGGCTGAGGAGGAAGAATCCCTTGAGCCGGCCGGGCGCGGTGGCTCACGCCTGTAATCCTAGCACTCTGGGAGGCCGAGGCGGGCGGATTGTTTGAGCTCAGGAGTTCGAAACCAGGCTGGTTTCGAACTCCTGAGCTCAAACAATCCGCCTGCCTCGGCCTCCCAGAGAGCTAGGATTACAGGCGTGAGCCACCGCACCCAGCCCCCAAAGTTAAAATTCTTAAAAAAGAATCCCTGCCTAGGCGTGGTTGCATGTGCCTGTAGTGCCAGCTACTTGGGAGGCTGAGGAGGAAGAATCCCTTGAGCCGGCCGGGCGCGGCCTTATTTCCCCAGTCTGTAAATTAAGCTATATCACTACAAAGTAAGTGCCATCTGTTGTGATAATAAACTAGTATGATAGTAGGTATTATATAATGTTGTAAAAATTTCAGAGCAAGTGATCCTAACAATTCATTCAGCAGTCAGCACTTCTCTGTAGCTCTCCTCCTCCCAAAATCATCAGCAAGATAATAAAAGTAAAATAGGCAATGAAGTGTAGAAGTTAGGAGCAGGAGGAGTCATATAGTCATATAATGTGAATCCTGGTCCTACCACTTACCAGCTGTTATGGACTCAATGTTTGTGTCCCCTAACCCCAAATTCGTATGTTGAAGCCCCAACCCCCAATGTGACTATATTTGGAGATACAGCATTTATGGAGATAATTAAGGTTAGATGATGTCATAAAGGTGGGGCCTTGATCCGACAGGATTAGTTTCCTTATAAGAAGAGACAGGAGAGAGCTCTGTCTCTCTCTGCCGTGTGAGGACACAGCAAAAAGGTGAACATCTACAAGCCAGAAAGAGGGCCCTCACCGGGAACCAAATTGGCTGGCACCTTGATCTGGGACTACTAGCTTCCAAACATGTGAGAAAATAAATTTCTGTTAAGCCGCCAAGTTTAATTATCTTATTATGGCATCCTCAGCTGACTAAGACACCACCTGTGTAATGCTGGCAAGCTATTTTTTTTTTTTTTTTTTTTTGAGACAGAGTCTCACTCTTTTGCCCAGGCTAGAGTGAGTGCCGTGGCATCAGCCCAGCTCACAGCAACCTCAAACTCCTGGGCTCAAGTGATCCTTCTGCCTCAGCCCCCCGAGTAGCTGGGACTACAGGCATGCGCCACCATGCCCGGCTAATTTTTTCTATATATTTTTAGTTGGCCGATTAATTTCTTTCTAACT